ATGGATATTTTTTTTTTTGCTGGATCATTGACATAAAACACTTGTTTCGTTTGACTTGCTAAAATGAATGGCTCATCTCTATATCCAATCCTCTTAAACTGAAACAGATCCAAATTATTCATCTACTTGCATAGCATTACTATTAATCCACTTACATTTGAAGACGAGAACTTTAAATTTGGTATAACTAACCTCCAAAATCTCTTCTATTATTCCATAATAGGATATGATGTTGGGTTTTTATCTTTTGAACTAGCAACAAGCATAACTTCGATTACTACCATCACCCCACTGCTCTGCGTAGTACTCTTATAATCTTGGGTTTTTGTGTAAAATGAATAACTGTTTATGTCATATTCACCCAATACATAACCTCAAAACAAGGCCTTGCAGCTAGCCTTTGTATTGTCTCAAAAGGATTGACATCTTTTAACACTTCCTGTTTGAACTACTCTACAAATGACTTATTATGCTCATTAACCAATTGCATATTGTTCTTTCTTGGGTTCATGCTCTTCAGCATATTCTTGTGAGCATCCAAGCAAAACTTCATCCATATTGTTCAAAATGTATAAATGTGCTTGCATTACAATTTCACAGGACATGAACTTCACTATGACACCCCGTGTTCCCTTGTTTCTCCCCTGATCATGCTGAGATTGAGGAAATCCAACTAACTTTACTCTATCAAGATATTAGTTATGAAACTCAACGGCCTCCTCAAATATATATCTCTCAACAATTAATACCTCAAGCCTATAAGGATTCTTAAAGTACTTTTTTAGGATTTTCATGTATCTCTCAAACGGATACATCCACATTAAACACACAGGACCATAGAGTCTTATCTCCCTTACAAGGTGAGCTATCATGCACCATAATATCAAAAATTGATAGAGGAAAGTGCATTTCTAATTGGGAGAGGATAACATAACCTTTATTTTCTAATTCATTTAACTCAGCAGGATCAATCGCCTTGCTGCAAATAGCATTGGGGAACATATAAAGTTTCGTAATAGCCCTTCTCACATCATTTTTCATAATGTCTTGAATAGCCACTAGAAGTAATTATTGTATCAATACGTGGCAATCATGAGACTTCATTTGTATTATCTTCAAATCTTGTATTAAAACAAGCTTTTTCAAATTAGAAGAATAACTATTTGAAACCTTAATACTATTCAAAGAACCACAAAATCTTATTTTCTCTTCCTTTGACTACACTGCTGGATGCAAATAAGCCCTCCTATCCTCTCTTTCTTGTGGGTGTAGGAGTTTTTTTTATTCCAATTTTAACTAAGTCCTATCTTACATTATTCCCTCGTACTGTTTGTAAAATGGCACTCATACCTAACCACAAAAACCTCTCTATTGCTAGTATTTAGGTCCCAACCTTAACGGGATTAGGCTTAATCCTCTAAGGTTGGATTAGCCATAATTCAACATCTATTTTAAATCATATAATTTACTGTAAAATATTTAATATATTACCTTCATAATTGGTTTCTTAATTTTATAAAGGGTTAATATAATTTTTAGTCTTCTAAATATGCCCTCATTTTGGTTTTGGTCCTTTAAGTTTTAAACTATAGGTTTTGGTCCCTCAAGTTTCTTTTCATTTAAAATATTGGTCTTGATAATTCAATAAAAACTTGGACCATTTTACTCCTAAGGGACCAAAATCTATGTTTAAAATTTGAGGGATCAAAACTAAAATGAGGACAAATTTAAGAGACCAAAAATTATATTAATCTTTTTATAAAATATCTTTTCAATCCTCTTACTCAAACACTGTTAACAAAAGATGCTAATATTGAAATTTTTAATATTGATATCTCAAATACTAATGTATTAACTTTGAAAAATAACAATGATTGGCACCAAAAATATCATTTGAAACTAAAATTGTTGGGATTCATTAAGAGGTAAAAATATTTTATAAAATTATTCATATGATTATTAATGAAATTAATAATGTTCAAGATTAGAAATCCAATACAAAGAGATGATGTAAAGTGGCCAGGATCCCACTTTTTCTCTTCAAAATTTTCTTTGGCTCCTCCAAACTTAGTGAATATTTAGGAAAAATAATTTTTTTAGTACTTATAGTTTTGACTGACTTACAACTCATTTTCTCATGTATAGCTTAATGATCTAGTCTCTATACTCTTAATTCACTTATAACTCAATTACTAATCTTTTCATCGTTATAATTTTGTCTTTGTCTAGTCATCCTATACATGGCTTCCAACTTAGTTTCATGTGGATTTTGTAAAAACAAATAAGGCGTCTTGCTCAAAAATGCTCCTGGATTCAGTTTCTTCACCAACTTCCCATTGAACTCCAAAGTCATCTCCTCGTGTTCCTTCATTGCTCCACGCTTCCATACCAGTCCTCCAGATACTTATGTAGAATTTAGAAGTCACTCTCTCTCTCCACCCCTCGTCTCGCTTACACCACTTTCAGGTCTCAACTTGTGCTGGTTCATGATTCTCTCTCTCCCCTCTGTTTTGTATTTTCTAAGGTCAAATGATATTCCTTGAATGGGTCTCTCAACGCAGGTTAAAGCGTTCTTTATTCTTTGTGGGTTTGTCAGAGAATGACAGAGACGCTAAAGAAGGCTTCTTGAAGTGGATCTCTCTGATACTGCTTTTAGAGATTAACGCTATCATTTTGTGGCTTCTAACGGATACACTAACCTCATGCTTGGCATGGGGGAAATGGTCTGGCAAAAAAGGGTACGGGGGAAATAGAAGTGCTGGAAAATTTTAATGAGTTCAGTTAAAAAAAGAATTTAAAAAGTGAAATTATAAAATTTCATTAAAAAGAAGATGTAAGATAAAAGAGTAAAAAAATTAGGGTTAAGGTGTAAATTTGAGTCGGAAGTTTTAAATTATGAGTGCTAGGCACATTGAAGATTTTTTGTGTGCAAATTTGTCCTTAAAATTTAAAATAATAACAAATTTGTCCCTTATCATTAAAAATATTAATGGTTAATGTCACTATTTTAACAGTCAATGTTAGTTTTTTAAAGATATGGAGTAATACTGCTACAATTTTATAAATTTGGGGGACAAATTTGCATAACAAAGTTATGAGTGAGTGAAAAGTTTGAGAATAAATTTGCACCTTGACTCTAAAAAATTATTTAAAAGTTCCTAACCCAACTTTTTCAATTTTTTAAGCTGAACTTACTAAAATTTTTTCCTCCACTCCTATTTGTTCTATTTGTCTTATTCCAAATAGACACTTAGTGAGATTTGTCGTTGGGTCACATGATAGGAATGAATTCAAATTCTCATCAACGCCGATGAGATTGCAAGATCACTGGCTTTTTAAATGTATGTTAACTTTTGTAGCTTGCTTCTAAAGAAATTGCAGCTTCAAACATGTTACCTTTCTCGTTCAGCTGCTTTCCTTCTTGTTCTCAACCCTTCTTTTTGAATAAAAAACTGAATTACACTTGGCAAACAATAGAAAATAAAAGAAACAAGAACTTAGTGGCCTTTATCAACCTTCCCTTGTAAGCAGCAGGGAGGAGATTGATTCAGATGTAAAAATTACCTTCTAAATTATGTGAGAGTCTCACTAAATGATCAGCAATAAAAATGTTTTCCCTAAAAGAATGAACTGGCACAATATGCCAATTCCTATGAAATATTAATCTAGCATAATCTACCATGTCTTTGAACGAGTGGCTGACATCACTGCCTCTACAGAAAAGGGAGACAGGTTCAATATAATCACTACGCAGAACAATATGTCTATAGCCTTTTAACCCACGCACCCATTTTCTTAAACTACACAAGTTGTGTTGAAAAGGATCATATAAGAAGTTGATGAAAAGAGCCTTCGTCCGTCTAATGGATTTCTTTTTCATTTTTTCGCTTTGCTTCACTGTTATGACCTTCTTATTCCTCCATTTCAATCGTCTATTTCCTTTTCATATGTAGACAGACTTGTCATTAAGCGTACTTGTTTGTGAAGTTCTGGAAATTTTTCTGTTTAGGCTTCTCCATTTTCTTGTTTATACCTCTTCAACTCCAGAGTTCTCAAAATGGAAGTGACGTTGAAAAAGTGGAGAATTACAATTAGACTCTAAAGAAGGAAAATAATTATAAAACAATTTCCAAAATTGTTATTTTCTACTTTGGAACTTCTTATCATAGGTTGTTTAGATTCTTATTGAAATTTTTTAGCAATTATTTTCTTTTCTTGGGATCTCATTATAATTCTTCTTGAAAAAAATTACTATTTTGATATAGTGCTTTGAATTGGATTGAATGTCAATGGCACACTTAGCAAGGAGGAAAAAGCACAAGGCTTCCAACAAGATGCCTTACTTCTTTTTTTTTTTTTTTTTTGAAAAAAATTTATTTATTCATATTTCTTTTTAACATTTCAAATTGTATAGGCAATGATGAGTTTAAAGCCAAATAGAGTAATTTTTTTTAATGACGTTAATAAATATTTTTGAAAAATACTTATGTCAAGTTGTTTATACTCCTCTGGTCCAATGTCGAGTTCCCATCACAAAGTCATATGTGCTAATTTTTTTATGTGAATTTATAATTAAATACTATTAAATACAAATATTTCAAAAATGATATACATGAATGTGTGACTGAAAAATTTAATATTATGGATAGAAGTACTTTTTTTTTGGGGTAATGTAACATGGATCAATAACAATTAACAACTCAACATGAGTTATAAGTGGCAATAACAAAATTATAAATAATAAAATAATTAGGAATTGAGCTTTTTTTTTTGTTGTTGCCAGTTTTAGGAATGAGTGAAAACTAAAATATTAATTTTTCGGAATGTTTATTTTTTTCGTCAAAATCGTAGTGTATGCCAGAATCCCGCAAAGCTCTGAGTTCATAATTTATCGCGGGACGGGCTGGATGATCTTGGGCCCACGAGAGCGAAATGACGAATAAAACCTTGCTCAGACTCGACCACTTTCTTCTCCGCAAAACCTCACATCTCAAAAAGTTTCATCTCTGCTTTGAAACCCTACTCTAATTATAATCAAATCGATTGCTCGATTTCCTCATCATCGTTGCTCCTGAAAACCCTACCGCCCAATCTGTGGTCACCATGACGAAGTTTTCGTCTCTTGTTTCGAATCAGATTCGGTTCCTGCTTCAGAGCTTGAACGAAGTCAACTTCGACTCTATCTTCCAGGAACTTTGTCAGGTACCCTTTTCATATGAGAGATGTGATTGCATTTTCGCCGATTGATTTACGTTATCTTCTTATTTCTTTGTATGACTTACTTGTACTCGTTGTTATTCGACGTTACGCTGTAATCTTTTTCTCCATTGCGTAGAAGGGGTAAAGTTTTTATCTGTTGGTGTGGGGCTGGAGGAAAATTCGAACCTACCACGTTGAAATCAGCTTGTTATTCGTGGTGAAAAGAAAATACAGTTAGTCCTGATCTGGAAGTTTTTATGTTTCTTTTGGTGATAGGCCAAGTGTGACATCAAAATAATTTGCTGGCGAGTTGTTTGGTTTAATGTTGATCCCGCTCTGTACATTAGTAGAATTGTTGTTTCTTCGGCATTAGTTCAATTGAACAAGACATTGTTGCTTGTCTCGCAAATTCACCTAACTATAGTTGACAGAAGCAACTGGTCTAGTCAAACTTTTAAAAAAAAAAAGGTTAATATAGTCATTACACACTTTATTGTGTACCATGATCTTGATACGGAAAGGAGAAGCAGTCTAGGGTTTCATAAAGATCTTCCATTTGACATGATGGAGAAGGTGATGCTTAAATCATGAGCTAGGTGTTAGAGAGGCAGCTAGCCTTGAGCTGTTTGGACTGGAGCCCTTTATCCGGTATACATGCTGTTGTGTATGGATTTTGGAGAGGAGGGCCAGTAAGTCCTTGACTTGAAGGAGTTATTCATTGGAGGTTAGCCTTTCGGTAATTTATTGAGGAAAAACCTTAGAAGTTAATGTTGCTTGCTCAGAGGGGAATGCTGAAGAATACTATAGCCTATAGCTTTCTGTGTGACTGTTGAAGGGTTTGTCAATGGTAAGGAGTTAAATATGGAATATCTGGAGGTTTTACTCTTTGAACTCCTTGCTGCTTTACCAGAGGGCAAACTAATAAGGTTTCTGGTATACATTATACCCCATCTTGAATGGTATCTGTTTTCATGTTCTTATCATCTTATTTATTTTAATTTCAAACACGACCAGTGCATTATGCATTCTTTTAACATCTTATGCGGTTCTGTTATTTTATATATATTTCATTTTCCCTTTAAAATTCGTTTCCCTGGAGGACTTGAGTAGAATTGCTTCCTCTTATGCCCTTTTCTTTTCTGTTTGTATTTTGGTTGAACCATCTGACTGGATCAGTTTTATAAATTGTTTCCTGCGTTCAGTTCACTGAATATGGAACCGATGGAAGCATTTTACTCCTACAAACATGCTTGGATCACCTGAATTTTGTCAGAAGTGATCTAGAGGACATGCCTCAGGTGCCTATTCTTGCGGCAGTCACCAAGTACCTCTTGGACAAACCTAACTTCAGTACAGTGTTTTCTGAGTCACTAAAGACTATGGAAATCAGTGAAAGCTTCCTAGAAAAGTTTTCTAGTGGATTGCAGTTGTCGTTATTGGAGAAAATAACCATTGGTCTTGCTTTATCTGATTCTGACAATGTTGACACTAGGCTTTGTGGTGAGTATAAAGTTAATTCCTATTTTGGTTTTCTGCCTAACTTTTTCCTCTGTGCATATAATGACAGAAATCTGTTAGCAATATAAGTTTGATGGGAATTTTCTTTGTTTTCCATTTATTGTTGGTTATCAAGGATGCTACTTGACATCTTGTTTTTCTTTAGGGAAAAACTTTTGTGTGGCTCAGATTGAGGAACTTTGTGCCAGTCCTACCTCTTTGAGTTGTTCTGAGCAAATTCAAGATGTTGTCATGTTTCTTAATCGAAGCGAGGGCCTTTCCAAGCATGTGGATTCCTTTATGCAGATGTTATCACTAGTCCAGTTAAAAGAAACTCCACCTTTTGTTTTGACTCCATTGCTACCTGATGAGGTGCATGACCCCAACTTCTTAAGGTGGTAACCTATTTAGTTATCTTGCGCTGTTCAAGCTCTTGATGATGATGATCCTTTATTTATATAGAATATAGCTACATGTATGCTTAATAGCTTCCCCTATGCTTTACAGGAATATGGAGCTGTTCCACAAGGGTGAAGAGAATGACTTTGATGCTATTTTAGCTGACATACAGAGGGAAATGAACATGGGAGATATTGTGAAGGAACTGGGATATGGGTGCACTGTTAGCACCTCACAGTGCAGGGATATTTTCTCACTTTTCTTACCTTTAACTGAGGATACGCTTGCTAAATTACTTGGTTCTATTGCTCGGACTCATTCTGGGATGGAGGACAATCAGAGTTCATTCTTAAATTTTAGCATGGCCCTTGGTTATAGCACTTTGTCTGAGTTGCCACCACTGAATTCTTGGAATATTGATGTGCTGATAGATACGATCAAGCATCTGGTGAATAACTATGTCTTTTCTTGGTATCTTTTATTGTAATTATGTGTGCGTAAATTTATGAAGTCAAACGTTTTTCTTCTTCTGTTCCACTGTATACAGGCACCTGGAATTAATTGGACAAGTATAGTTGAGAATCTTGATCATGAAGGATTTTTTGTTCCCAGTGAAGAAGCTTTTTCCTTTCTCATGTCTGTATATAAGCATGCCTGTAAGGTATGTTATCAAAATGTGGACAATTGCTTGCAATCCCCCCCCCCCCCCACCCCCAAAAAAACAAAGAAAAAGGGCTGTCAATTTCAGTACCAAAATCTTTCATAGGGAAATCTGACTGCTTGAATTTGAGTATTGCAGGAGCCTTTTCCTCTTAATGCCATTTGTGGGTCTGTCTGGAAGAATACTGAGGGCCAGCTATCTTTCCTAAAATTTGCTGTATCAGCACCACCAGAAGTATTTACCTTTGCCCACTCTGCCAGGCAGTTGGTATGATGCTCTGTGTACTTGGTTTCTGCTTCTTGTTTCTATCTCTATAGGTTTCTATGAGTAACAGATTTTTGTGTAGGAGTATGTTGATGCAATTCATGGTCACAAGCTTCAATCTGGACACGCAAATCATGCATGGTTGTGTCTGGACTTGTTGGATGTATTATGCCAGCTAGCTGAAAGGGGTCATGCCAGTTCCGTTAGATCAATCCTTGATTATCCTCTCAAACACTGTCCTGAAATCTTGCTTCTTGGGTTGGCACATATTAATGTACAATTTACTGGATTTTTTTCTTTGGTTTGTACGTATTCATTTTCATACGTTTATTCTTGGTGTTAAGTCTGTATTTCTTGTTGCAGACTACGTACAACCTTCTCCAACATGAAGTATCTTTGATTGTTTTCCCAATGATATTAAAAAATGCGGTTGGCAGTGGTATGATTCTGCATCTTTGGCATGTTAATGCCAATCTGGTCTTGCGGGGTATCATAGATTCTCAAAACAATGACACAGAGAGCACTGCAAGAATTGTGGACAACTGCCAAGAGCTAAAGGTAGGGATAATGTCTAGTATGGATTTCTCATATTGATTATTTTGTTGGGCGGCAGATTATATTGATTTGTGAATTTTTTCCCCCCCTCATCTAAAGCCAAATTTTGTTCCCCTTGAGAAGTTTGAATTTTGAGTGTTAATCTGCAGCTTTGCTATTTTTGTTGTTAATTATAATTTGTTTTGTAGATCCTACAGTCAATATTGGAGATCATCCCCGCTTTTTCTAGTATAAGGTTGGCTGCTCTTGCCTCAAGAAAAGAATTTCTTGATCTTGAGAAGTGGTTGATTAACAATCTAACTGTTCACAAAGATGTCTTCTTTGAGGTAAATTCTGCCCTGTTACACATTGTACTCCCACTGTTTCTGTTTTATGGACAGCACGACTGCTGTTTTCTGTTTCTTGTGTTCGTGTTTTATAATTTGCTAATGTGTGTAATTAATTTAGATGGAAAGGGTTCATGCTGGTTGGTATGTTTTTCAGGAGTGCCTCAAGTTCTTGAAAGATACCCATTTTGGGGGATCACAGAACTTGTCTAGCAAATCTTTTCGTCAGTCTACTGTTCTGAATCTGTATGCCGAGGCGACACCTACTTTCTTGAAGGTTCTGTGTTAATTTGCCCTTTATTTTTTCCCTGTTGGTTTCCATACCTTATTCAATTCTGCTAAGCTGGGAACCTGACTAAGTTCATCTTCAGGTTCTTAAAAGTCATTCTGGCTTGATTTCCTCTAGCCAACTTTCTGAGGAGCTGGAAAGGTTGCGTGCATCTATTATGGACTCAAATCCAAGGTTGCAAAGCAGTGGGGCTGCTGATTCATCTTCTGATGGATATGCAGAGGACATTGAGACAGAAGCAAACTCATACTTCCATCAGATGTTTTCTAGTCAGTTAACCATTGATGCAATGGTTCAGATGCTTGCTCGATTCAAAGAATCTTCTGTGAAGAGGTGATTCCTGTTAATGATATGACACATGGTTGATTGGACATAGTACATGTACTTAACTGATCCAATATGTTTTGGGAAAGAATTTCACTGGATATTTATGGAGGCATACTTTTTGGGGGGTTTTCTCATCATTGCTTTTTACTCTGTTTATAATATATTCTCTTATCCTTTATTTGGGGAAGAAGAAACTTTCAGATTTCATATTTTAATTGAGTCCCTGTTCGTTCATTTTAAAATTTTTCCCTGTGAATTGCTTCTCTAGTATTTCGTATAATAAGTTTGTTAGTTATGGTAATTTTGTGGTATGTGTTGCTTTGTCATTGTTGCAGAGCTTATAAATTTACAATGTGCTGTAATTTTTAACCTTTTGTTTTGACGGCCACCTTTTAGAGGTGTTAGAAGTTGTATCTTCAAGTCTTGTTGACTTACTGGTGTCATCTAACTTATGATATTACCTTTTGCATTTGTGAAAATAACATTCGCCTCTTGCCAATTGGTTTGTTGAAAAAAATTTAAACATGTTTATAGTATGTTAAACGCAACTCTACCTGACGTCAGTTTTAATGATTTAAGCATGTCATGAATATTCTTTTCAGTAAATTGAATTTGTCTCTGGAGCTACAATCTACTAATTAGCATTACTTTAATGTTGAGATGTTATCTGGTCAGTGGTTAATCACTAATGGCCCGGACACTTTTGCGTGAACTACAGGGAGCAATCAATTTTTGAGTGTATGATAGCTAATTTGTTTGAGGAGTATAGGTTTTTCCCAAAGTATCCTGAGAGGCAACTCAAAATTGCAGCCGTTCTCTTTGGTGAGTTTTACGTTTGATTCTGCATATGATGAAATTGACTCTAGTCTATTCATTAGGGGTTTGAAGTTCATCATTATCAATTGATTTGTTTGTGGTACGTGACAACCGTAGGATTCATTTGTAATCTACATTTTATGGAATAGCTATTTGCCAGACATTGAATTGGGCCTGTGTGACAATTTGTTATGCCACTCATGATGACATTGTTTTGCAGTTTCTTAACCTTTTTTCCAAGGTGATTCATTAACCAGTCTTGCATTGTGTTTGGTTATTTATTAATAGCATGTTTATGTATGTGTATTGTGAGAGAAGAGGCATCCAATACAACAAGAGTGAGGCTAAATGAATAAAGGGAAATGCTTAACTTGTAGGAAAAATCGTTTTGGCAGTGATAATGGATTTAATTCCCTGGAATATGATTGTAGTTCCTTTTAGTAGAGTTTTTGATGAAGACCTAAGGAAGCATGGAAAACACCCACTCTTGGAAAGGAAAATACAAACGATACTTTTAGTTTATTCGTTTTAATGATGCTGCACAAGCCTTTATTGATTAGTAGCAACAATGTTACCTGGTGCACGAGAGAGAAGAAAATTGAGGATAGAATATAGGAAACTAAAGTGGCAATATTGCTACTTCCTGTAAATCCAGAAGAATTAGTGAATAACAGAAACATAAAAAACAGCCAATGCTAATACTGGCGAAAGGTCCCCTCAAGCTGTGTAGTAGATGTTTAGTATTCCCAGCTTGCTACTTGGTGCTTCAAATCTTATCCATGACATTAGTTAATGAGTTTGCATTTTGCTCGCCAGTTGTTACATAAGCTAGATCGATCATGGCCTAGTTAATGAGCATGGTTGCTCCTGTCACTTCAAGCGTGTGTTTTGTTTCTTCTTTCAGCAATACCAATATGTTGTGGGACGTTACACACAGTTTGGTATAGGATTCCATTGTTGTTAGGATTAGTTTTCAAAGGATGTACTGTGGTGTTCTTTTTTCCTTTGTCACTTTGTAGATCTTTATATTGGATTAGAAGTGATTTTGTATCAAGGTATGGAAGCTTTTGAAAATCTGGGCAACATTCAATTTTCTCTAATGAATAAGGTAGATAAGCATGTCTGGTCATCAGTAATGGTCAAACCACGGTTCCCCCCCCCCCCCCGGTCTTTATTATTGAGGTCCCAACCTATCACTATAAATAATTGTGAATGGTTCTGCCAGAGGAAATTTTGGGGGGAAAAAAATCCAGGATTAGGAACTATCTAATAACTCCTTAAACCTGGAAAAATGAACAAATAGCAGAAATAATAGATCTTCCAAAGTTGTAGATTTCTTTGAGTGGGCAGAGGCTTGCATAAGGCTCTTCTTTTTGGAAATGTATTTCTGTTTTAATATTAGTTTTCTATCATTTTACTAAAAGGCTTTGACCATGACCAGGTTCTTTGATCAAGCATCAGCTTGTAACTCATCTCAGTCTTGGGATTGCTCTTCGTTGTGTTCTTGATGCATTGCGCAAACCTGCTGATTCAAAGGTTGTATTGGGTTGCTGAGTATTTTGCTAGTTTTCATTGCATGTAAGAAAGAACAGTCTTTAAGGACAAAAAAATTGTGTTTATATGCAGATGTTTCTATTTGGAAGTTTGGCATTGGAACAATTTGTTGATCGGCTGATTGAGTGGCCGCAGTACTGCAATCATATTCTTCAAATCTCTCATTTGCGCAGTACACATGCAGAAATAGTAGCTTTCATTGAGCAGGCTCTTGCCAGAATTTCATCAGGTCATGCAGACGCAGAGGGGATCAACCATCCTTCTGCTGTTAATAATCATAATTCTATTCCATCTACATCGGGGCACATGGAGGTAAGCAGTGAATTCTCTCTCTCCTCTCTTTTATGATTATTTAGAATTACGTATTGTGATGAATGAGTTGTGGTTGTCTAACGAACTGGCACCTCTAACTTGAAAAATTTCAGAAACCAGTAATCATCATCTGTTAATTTTTTTATGACAATATTGATGATTTAAGTAAATGGTTTTGTTTTGTTTTGTTTTTTGACTTTCAAATGCCACCTCAATCTGAAGAGGCACAAGCTTCGGGATCCCTAGATTGTTTCCCCTGCACAGACTGACTGTTCAGCTAATTTGATTTATTAATGTATGGTCTGTGAATATGGGTCTGGTTGTTTTCAGTATGGCTTTTTTAGTAGGTGTATTTGATTGTTGTCCTTTAAAATTAGGTTGCGTCCTTATTATAAATAGAATGTTGGGGTTTTATTATTGACTGTAAATGAGTGATAGCTTAATGATCGTTTTCACTTCTCCCAACTGTGATGAGACTGAGCTGTTCTCGCTACCTGTGTTAGTCATTTGCTTGTGTGGGAGGCAGATGGATGGCCGGTGCCTTAGTTCTCTGTTGCCTTTATTTGCCATTTATGTCTGAGAGTTTCTGGTACAGGTTGCTAAATGCTTATTTGTTGGACGCCTATTTAAACACTTTCAGTCTACATTGGATCTGGATGCTCTACATTTATCAAGTAGATGCATTATGAGTATTTATAGAGAGAGAGAGAGAGAGAGAGAGAGAGAATAAGCATTCGGTGGCAACAGAACAAATGGTGCCCTCTTTTATCACTCTCCAAAATGAATGTTGTATTTCTGAATTGCATCATAATCCATGTGGATATAAATAAAATAGCTTACTGATGAGATTATTTGAGAAGTTCAGTAAGTTTTAATGTGACTGTTTCTTTAATAAAGAAGCTGTTTGCTTCTCCGTTCAACCATTTTTCTTATCTCTTTATGCTATTGCAGTTGACATTTTTCTTTGCTATGTCCTTACAGCAGTTTAATGGTTCTGGTGTGATACAACCTGGACAGCAACTTGCATTACAACCGCTTCAACAAAGACGTGAAATTGCCTTAGATGATCGTCATAAAGCCTCTGCTGTTTCATCAAATGATGTTAAACCTCTGTTATCCTCTGTTGGGCCATCTTCAGCTGTTACATCTGGTGATACTTCTGGAACTAATAAGGTACTGCCCTTCTATACACTGTTCATATCTTTAAACTTGTGTGTTGTGATCTGTCTTTAGTATCTTATACCATTACCCTGGTTTGTTTTGTTGCCATATTTGCAGATACATAGCACAGTCAGTACCCCATCAATGCTATCATCTTCTCCTGGTTTTGTCCGCCCTTCACGTGGAGCTACATCTACAAGTATGTTTCTGTTACTTAAGGATGACTCGTGCTTGTTTTGTATGAATCTTATAGCCTGTTCTTAATTTTAGAAGTTGTGATTTTATTCTCTGGTTTTCCTTATTTGTAGGATTTGGTTCTGCTTTGAACATTGAAACGCTTGTTGCTGCAGCTGAGAAAAGAGAAACTCCCATTGAGGTGCTCTGCCCTATTGCTTATTGCTCATTATAGAAAATTGTTGACAACGACTTATCTTTTTGTGTTTTGCATTGAGATATGTCATTCATTTGGATGCTTGAATGTCCCACTATCTGACTGTAAGAATTGTCATAGGTTTCAAGCTTCCCTTCCTGCTGTCTGCTTTAGTTTTTATTTAATTACTGTAGGTTAGGGATTATTTGTCATTCATTGTTTCTGAATTCTGTTATCAGGCTCCAGGATCAGAGGTTCAGGACAAAATATCATTCATAATCAACAATATTTCTGTTGCTAATATTGAAGCCAAAGCAAAAGAATTTACTGAAGTTTTGAAAGAGCAGTACTATCCCTGGTTTGCCCAGTATATGGTTATGAAAAGGTTAGCATATTTAAGAAATCCACATTATGCGATTTCTGACTGTGTTTTATGTTGATTTAATGTGCATGGGTATAGGGTACAGATAGGACCAGTGTACTTGAGTTAATTGATAAAATACAGTACAGCCTGGGAATACAGAATGATTTGTTGTATCAGTTGATAGTTTGGTAGGTTTAATGGTGTTTATTTTTTAGAATGCAAGGGTGCAATATCTGAAATTAGAGCTAAATGGGAGGGGAGAGAATTTTCTAAAATTCGGATGTGATTGCTTAGGGTGAATGGTTTGTGATGGAATATGGAGATTTCTGTTGATTTTATGCTTATACTGGACGTCTTTTTTGGGGATCTATAATCATTCATGTGCATTATATAGATACCATATTTTGCTTGGATTTGTACTTTTAATATGTTTACTTATATTATTTTCCACTAACATCTTGCCAGAGCAAGCATCGAGCCCAATTTCCATGACTTATACCTGAAATTCTTGGACAAAATTAATTCAAAGCCTTTGATTAGAGAAATTGTCCAAGCAACTTATGAGAATTGCAAGGTTCGAGGAGCTCTTTTCTTTTCTTGAAAGTAATGAATTATTGAAATTGAAAATCTAAACCAATAATTGGCCTTTATGTCCTCTTCAGGTTCTATTAGGATCAGAGCTTATAAAGTCAAGTTCAGAAGAACGCTCTTTGCTGAAAAATCTGGGTAGCTGGCTAGGAAAGCTAACAATCGGAAGGAATCAAGTTTTGAGGGCTCGTGAAATAGACCCTAAGTCTTTGATTATAGAGGTAATATCTATATTATGTAATCACTAATGTCTGATGGTACTTCGGTTTACTGTCTGCTTTTTCCTTTTTGGAATATTTTGTGGATGAAGCAACATGTGTTATATCAAATTTTTTCAGCTGACTTCCAAATTTTGCAGGCTTATGAGAAGGGACTGATGATTGCAGTAATTCCATTTACTTCAAAGGTATATTTTATAGCCGTTGGTACTACATAATGATAGTTAAATATAATGCCTTATTTTATTCATTTTCTTAAAAAAATCTTGTTATTTTATGTTCTATTGGATGTCGTAGATCCTGGAGCCGTGCCAAAGCAGTCTTGCTTATCAACCTCCTAATCCTTGGACCATGGGAATTCTTGGATTACTTGCTGAGATATATTCAATGCCCAACTTGAAAATGAACCTCAAGTTTGACATTGAGGTAGATGTGGTGTTCCTTTTATTGACCTGGACTAGTGTTTATTAGCTTAAATTTCTGTCACCTACAATTTCAAGCTGTTTTGGTATCCAGGTTTTATTAAAAAATCTTGGGGTAGATATGAAAGATATCACACCAACTTCTCTCCTGAAGGACCGTAAAAGAGAAGTTGATGGAAATCCTGATTTCTCTAATAAAGATGTGGGGGCATCCCAAGCGCAAATAATGACTGATCTTAAATCAGGCCTTGTGCCCCCAGTAAATCAAGTTGAACTGCCGCTTGAGGTCACCAATCCATCTAATACTGGGGCACATACCCACTTACTGTCACAGGTTTGTTCTCTAAATACTTTGTGGTGTTTGGAAGTACAATAGTATTTTTAACATTTTTGTTATTTGATGGAATAGTATGCAGCGCCTCTTCATCTATCTACTGGGTCATTAATGGAAGAAGAGAAGGTAGCAGCTTTGGGCTTGTCTGATCAACTTCCTGTTGCACAAGGACTCTCTTCATCCTCAATGCCTTTCTCTATCAGCCAGGTTTGGAACCACTGATCCAGGGCCTTCTTTTCTATTGGTCCATGTGCAACTTCACAGTATACTCCTTTTATGCCCAAATGACTTAGCTTCTTCTTGTGCTTGTAGGTTCCAACGGCAATACCTAATATTGGGACTCATGTTATTATCAATCAGAAGCTTAGTGGTTTGGGTTTGCAAATGCATTTCCAGAGGTTTGACATTCTCACTATTGTTTACTTCTCTTGTGAATCTCAGAAGATCTGACCTGTTTGTGCCTATATGTATACACACAACAGAGTGGTTCCAATTGCAATGGATAGGGCTATCAAAGAAATCGTGCCTGGTATTGTGCAGCGTAGCGTCTCGATAGCAACACAAACAACAAAAGAGCTTGTTTTAAAGGTTGGCATCTCAATGGAGCCTTAATGATACATTCTTGGTTTAGAAATTCCATGTCTTTGTGCTGGCGTCGGAAAAAAATCCATTCTTTTATTAGTTTTAGCTCGTTTTTGTGTTTTACACCTTGCCAGTTTTACCCAATTCTTATTATTTACTCCTTTCAATGTTAAATACTTATTCTTGGATATGAAGTATGAAATTCATGTTAACAATTGTGTTTTGAAGTCGGAAAGGATAAATATATGTTGAATGTTTATCAACCGTTTTGGAGGAAAAAAAATAATGCTGACATAAGAAATAAAACAGTTATAGGTCATGAAATACCTAATGAAATGAAAGGAAGTTAACTGAGCAATAAGTTAATTGAATCACAGACAGAATAGAAGAAGTCAGCTTTGATTCACGAAGCACTGATTTCAGGACAACAGAATATGGAAATCTTATGCTTCTTTTTGTAGGAACAGAAGCTAAGAAACCAGCAGCACAAGGTGTATACGATGAGAATGGCTGATATGAGTCTATCATGTGGTTAGAAGTTCCATAGTCTATAATCCATGTAGTATTAGTGTGAGTAGTTTTTGGAGCTCATGAAAAATCACCTGTATGTGCTGAAGTTGTTATAGACATGGTTTTTGAAGTCTGGTCACAATAGCATGGGAGATGTGACAAGGTTAGAAGAGGCTTCCTTGAGAGATAAATCAGGGGTTGACACTAGTTAATGGGCTCTTGCATTTGTTTAAGGCTGTAGCTGGTTCATATATGTGGAAGGACAGATGTTATTTGGAAGCAACTGAGTCTCTTATTCATGTCCTTTGCAGTAGATAGAACAAAGCTATTTTGATCTTCCCTTAAACTGGAAGCCTTTAACAGCAACCTTGTCCTGACTTCTCTTTTATCTGTTTTCATTTATTGAATTCACTTAATCATAGGACTATGCCATGGAATCAGATGAGACACGTATATTAAATGCTGCACACCTGATGGTTGCTAGTTTGGCTGGGAGTCTGGCTCATGTCACGTGCAAGGTAAAGCTTGGAAATATCACTATTCATTTTAACTTGCTGTCAAAATAAATACATTATTGTTCTATGGTTGAATTACTTGTTCCATTTTGCTACTTGTTTTTTTCTTTTCCCAGGAACCTTTACGTGCATCAATATCAACTCAACTGAGGACTTCACTTCAGGGCTTAAATATTGCAAATGAGATTCTCGACCAAGCAGTACAACTTGTTACCAATGATAATCTTGATCTTGGTTGTGCTGTCATTGAACAGGCTGCTACTGAGAAGGTTAGTTCTGCTGGTTGTATAGCAGTTGTGGTACCCTTTTTAGCTTATAGTCTGTTGCGAACTATTGTTAAATTTCTGATTATGATGAAATATTCTAACTTGGATTAAATGTCAAACCAATTCCTGAGTCAAACCAGAATGATCTTGATGTATTTTCACTTACAATTTGGTGCTGTATAATGCATAAACCATAAATTGTTAGAGAAAAAATAAAGTTAAAATGATAAAGCAACAGACTTGTAATTTGTATCTGCTTCGAGAAATCTCTTAAAAATATTGAATTATATGTACTTATTTGTACATGATAGGAAAAGTGGCCTTTTTAATTTGATTGAGAAGCTTTCCGTTCATGTTTAACTATGTTGAAATCTTAGCAGGAAATTGATCCCGTGTTGTATATCAAAGCTTTATAGAAAAATGAAAAACTTAGCTGTATAATTGAAATTTGTGTGTGCTTAGGGTGAAAATGTTCTAGATCCCTGTAGAAGTTTAGAAAATTAATGGTGCAGCATTGTTGTGCCTTGTTTGGAGATGTCATACTTTGGATGCGTACTATTTGTTTTTCCACCATTGATGAAAACTGAAGTATAAGTTAATCAAATGGGGAAGAAAGACAGCACAGTGATTAGTGCTATACATAAATCTAGCTAATAAGCCTTGGTGAATGTCTTCCTTACTGTGGAGAATTCTTTTTTATGCATGAAAATTTTTATTTATTCACAACGTGGTATAATGGTCTGGCCTTTCGGTGGTATACACCCCTGCAGGCAATAAACACCATTGATGCGGAGATAGGTCAGCAGCTTTCTTTGAGAAGGAAGCATCGAGAGGGTATGGGTCCAACGTTTTTTGATGCAAACTTGTATACACAAGGTTCTATGGGTGGTGTGCCAGAGCCACTTCGTCCAAAACCCGGTCAGTTGTCAATGCAACAGCAACGTGTTTATGAGGTATTTAACCTGCTAACCTCTGTATTCTAAATTGTTGGTAGAGTGGTTGTATGTTATGAATAACTTACCCAAATTCTGGTTTCTTACTATTATTATACTAGGACTTTGTTCGGCTTCCGTGGCAAAACCAGTCTAGTCAGAGCTCTCATTCTATGGGTGCTGGTGTTGGTGTTCAGTCAGGCAGTGCTGGGCTCACTGGAACCTATGGTCCTGGGTCAGGACAGGTTAATCCAGGTTACTCAGGGGGCCCTGGAAGCACAGGATATGAAGCAGTCTCTCGATTGTCAGAGGATGTTGCAGAGTCAAATTTGGCTTCACACTTCAGGTTCTTAATTGTTATTTATTTTATTTCTTTTCCAATCTTTATCTGAAATTGTTTTTATGGTAATTCTGTTCATGTTTCAGTGCTCCTCCGGCAATTCACCTCAGAGCAGCTGATGGTGTTTCCCAGCATAGTGTGGAGAGTGATTCCGTTGCCGCCTCATTTCCTTTAGCTGCATCTACCCCCGAGTTGCATGATTCTTCTGATGTTGTGAAAGTAAGATGCATCCTTAATGGATGTGCTTCTGATGCATAATATTTTGGCATCTAATGTTCTTTTTATGTGCTGCAAGGAATCTGGAGCCTCTTCACAGCCACAAGCTTCGTCAGTAGTGGAGCGCCTTGGAAGTAGTGTCTCTGAGCCTTCTCTCACAACAAGGGATGCCCTTGATAAATACCAAGTTGTTGCACAAAAGGTTGTGATTTGCCGTTATTTCTTTTCATACTGCATATCTTTTAACAGTTAAATTTAGGCACATAGTATTTCTGTAACAGACTAATGGGTCATTTTCTTTTTTATATCATGCTTTATGGTTCTTTAGTATATCCTTGGCTTTACAAGTTCACAGGAAATTTAACTCACAGCAGTTAAATAATTATCCAGGATAGAGATATCTAATATCCAAACACCAAGAAAATTACGAACTATAAACCTAATCCCAAATATTTAATCTCAGTCAAGATAGAACATCTAACAACTAACACCAAAGTGTCTGTATTACCAGTTTGTAACAATTTAAAGCAATTTTACATGCTGATAATTCTTTATGAAAAAATTCATTGGCACTTGAAATGAGTATTCAAGTTGGTAGACTTTGATCTAGTTTTTAAGCGGCTTGGTGTTGGTCCTATTAGTTTAGGCTTTTAAAATAATCCATCATGTGACAAATGCATGGGTAGGATGTTGTGTAGGTTGAAGACCAAATTAACTGAGGGAATGATGATAGTTCTATATGTAGATATTTTAAGTCAAACTCGTGGAATTGTGTTGCTTTTCTTTCAACTTTTATTTCCCTTTTCGGGGGAGGGTCTCTGGAAATCACTATCTCTTGAGGCCTGCTGTGCTATGCATTGTTTGTGATTTGTTTTGGGCCCTATTATCAGAATTTGAAGTTTGTTCCTGATGTTTATCGATGCCCTTCATTTAATTGTTTTCAGTTGGAAGCTTTGATTTGTAATGATTCTGGAGAAGCTGAAATTCAGGTATATTTTTAAATTATCGAATTTCTGCTCTTCTGTCAAAGATGAGTTGATATCTTTCTTTTGTGTTCTCCTTTGTCCGCACTAATTAAAAAGAAGCATTAAAAATTTTCTTTCCTGCATATTGTAACTTTTTTGTTTTTGGCTTGGGTTTTGACTTTTCTTTAGGGAGCCATTTCTGAGGTTCCTGAAATCATTCTGAGATGTGTTAGTCGAGATGAGGCGGCCTTAGCTGTGGCTCAAAAGGTGTGCTGTCTTTTACTGGGAGTATGATTGTTCTTGAATTCTATTCTCTGCTTTCGTAGTCCTCTCATCTGCCTTATGTATGTTGTCTTTCATTAAGGAGAATGACCAGACGTTATTTCTATCAGGTTTTTAAAGGTTTATATGATAACGCTTCAAACAACATTCACGTGGGTGCTCATCTTGCAATTCTGATTGCGATTCGTGATGTTTGCAAGCTTGCTGTGAAGGAACTTACTAGTTGGGTATGACTTCTTCTCTTTTTAAAATTATAATATAAGGTTTTGTTTGCACCAAGAGGGTTGAATTTTGGATGCCATCCATACCTTCTACTCTTATCACATGAGCTAATCCCCGGTGGCTGAGTTTTGGGTATGATATAGCGAACCTACAGATTACATAGATATCTGTTGGATTGACATTTATGCTGTTAAGCATCGTTTCAGTTCTTCATTCTTATGTTTGAAGGAAAGAAAAAATGTTGACTTTGTTTAAATGAATGAAATGATCAAAGGATTCCATATATTCATTGATATTTGTTGGATTGGCATTTATTCCTACTATTTGTAGTATATTCTATCTACCTTTCTTGGAAATAAAGCTTGATGTCTGACTATCCAACTATCTTTCATGCCAATGATTGTCTCGGCATGTTGTATTGTACCTTGACCTGAGAACTGGCTTTCTTCTTGTGTTTTTTTGCTTTCTTTTAGTAGATACTTCAAGAGATGTCTCTTGTTTACTGGCTTTCTTCTTGTGTTTTTTTGCTTTCTTTTAGTAGATACTTCAAGAGATGCCTCTTGTTTTCTTTTTGTGACTGTTTATAAAATCTGTTGTTTTTGCATTTGCCCCATGATTTGTTATATTTGTTGCAGGTAATTTATTCCGAAGAAGAAAGGAAATTTAATAAAGATATTACCATTGGTCTCATTCGTAGTGAATTGCTAAACCTTGCTGAATACAATGTACATATGGCAAAACTGACAGATGGGGGCAGGAACAGTAAGTTGACTGACTATATCGTTTTATTATTAATGTTTTATTTAATGCAACTAACACATTGAATGATATGCAGAGGCTGCAATGGAGTTTTCTATTTCTCTTCTTCAAACGTTGGTCATTGAGGAACCCAAAGTTATCTCGGAATTTCACAATCTTGTTGATGCTTTGGCAAAGGTTTGTATTTGTTTTTGTGTTGGTTTTCAGATGGTCAGTGCCTGAGGCCCATACCATTTCATATTTTGCAGCTTTCTACAAAACCTGGATCGCCTGAATCATTACAGCAGCTGGTAGAGATGATCAAGAATCCAGCTGCTAATGCTGCTTCGTTATCTGCCATTGGTACTGGAAAAGAAGACAAGAATAAACAGTCAAGAGATAAAAAGGTTTGAGGAAACGCATAATTCAACACTCACTGTTGTCTTGTTGATATGAAATTATTTTACTTCTAACTGTCCTGAACCTTTTTTTCATATTATTCCCTTGTCAAAAACAGAGTCCTGGTGCACTTGCTAGCAGGGAGGAATTTAACAGTGTTGAATCTGTTGAACCAGATCCTGCTGGATTCCGTGAGTTCCGTGAGCAGGTATGATGTCCTATAAATTGCCAGATTGTTTCATTTTCTGTTGCTTATCTTTACGGCATCCCTTTTTATTGCTTTTGTCGATAACTTCTTTTATATATGTCTATATATGTTATTACTTGAACTAAGTAGAACCACCTTAACTTGTTTCTTAATTTAGTTTGGGCTCCCTGAAGTTCAACTGTCTGGGACTTTTAACGTATCTGCTAAAGCTTTAACTGGTTGTATGACATCAAAGGTTTAGCCTTTGGGGAGTTGGATGTTAAGCAAGATGTTCAGTAGTGATAATGCTTTTTTTTTTTTTTTTTTTTTTGGGGTGAAGTAGACGCCAAGGAGGTGTATTATACGCATCTCACTGTGAATAGTTGACTGACTAATGGGTTATGTAATGAATTTTTCATTTTTGAACTTTATAATGAACATAAATATGCCGAACACCTTTTATTTCTTTGATTATGATGAGATATCTGTACATTGTTTCATCTGTGTGTGGTAGTATAAGTGGACTGAAATGTGTCTAAACTTTTGCTATTGAGCGGGGTTGTTGAGAAACTTATCTGAGCAGAGTTTATTATTATTTACGAATATCAATTAGGTAGTTAGCTTCTATTTTCAAATTGTTGTATAGAACAATAGGAGGAGCTGCTTCAAGGCGGCTGAGTTTTACTTCTGTGTAAGGCTCATCAAAACTCCATTCCTATTCTTATCCTAAAATTTATAGCGTGGCCTAATATGAAATATAGTTTGTAGTTTAATTGTATATTAGTTAGGGAATGATATTTGAAATGAAGTATATTCTATTTTTTGTCGATGGTGAATTTTATTTCCTGTGGGCAGCATTGAATTGGGTGGGATAAGCGTTGTATGTGGGATTTTAGAATATTTGTATATGTATAGATGCTTTAAAATTATTTTCACAGTACTTGTTGTTAACATTATTTTCAAAGTGCTGACCTGCTGCCAAATTCATTGTAGGTGTCCATGTTGTTTGCAGACTGGTACAGGATATGTGACCTTCCTGGTGCAAATGATGCGGCTGCTACCCATTTCATCTTACAGTTGCATCAGAATGGTCTACTCAAGGGCGATGATATAACTGATCGTTTTTTCAGGGTTTTGATGGTAGCACCTCATTCTTCATGCAATCTATATTTCTGCTAAATGAGGGTTACGATAATTAAACTTTTCTCTTTCTCCCTCAGGAACTAGCTGTTGCACATTGCCTCTCTTCTGAGGTGATTAATTCAGGGGCACTGCAATCTCCTCAACAAATGCACACAATGTCATTTCTTGCAATTGATATTTTTGCTAAGCTTGTCTATACAATATTAAAGGTCAAAACCATGCTCCCCCCTTTTTTTTTTCTTGTTACAAGGTTATAATAAACTATTGAGTAATTTGACTTTTGTGTGAAGCAGGGATCGAGCAAAATCTTTCTTCTTTCCAAGGTTTGTAACATAAAAATTTGCATCTAATCATTCATCCTCCTTGAGTATTCATTTTTAAAAAGGTGGTTTATTATTTCCATGGTCTGTGTCAGATTTTGGCAGTGACTGTCAGATTCATTCGAAAAGATGCTGAGGAAAAGAAAGCATCTTTCAATCCTAGGCCATTTTTCAGATTGTTCATTAATTGGCTTCATGACCTGGGCTCACTTGAGCCTGTTACTGATGGTGCAAACCTTCAGGTATTTGTCACTTTTTCCCCTTTGGCAAAATCCATGTATAGAATAGCATCACCAAAAAGAAAAAAAAAAAAAATCCATTTATAGAATAGGAATGTCATGTATGATTTATCACATGAATCTGAACCATTTATATTTTAGGTAATTATATAAAAGAAGTGCAATCATTAATCCAAAATTTTTCATTCCGCCACGCTTCTTCATTCAAAGGATTTCAAAGAAGCTGTTTCAAGTGAAAATGAGAAATAAAGTTTAGAAGTAAATTATGTTGGGCCAATATATGTTTTAAACTTAGCAAATTGTCTTCTATGAACCTCTATCTTTCTTGTCTCTAAATATCGTGAAGTAATTGGAATAAATAGTATGATCTTTAGAAACGGGATGGTGGTGGGGGATGAGTGCACAAGGTAAATATGAATATTACAGAATAGACGTCATGGAACTTTTTTGTGTTATATGATGTCAGCTGCGTTGTCAGTTTATATGAAGCACTCAGTTTGAATTTTTATTAGCAAAGGATTTTATGGAAAGCTTTTGTGACTTTGGTCGGTTTTACCCTTCTTTAGTTGTTTTGATTGGTTGGGCAATTTGTCATTTTGTAGCTTTTAGCAACTCAGCCTTGCTAACATTATTTTCAAGACAATCATGCATGGTCAACTAATACTTTCTGTCGTGCAGATCTTGACTGCTTTTGCCAACGCATTTCATGCTTTGCAGCCCATCAACGTTCCTGGATTCAGGTTTGACTTAAAATATATTAATTATTTATAGGTTGTTGGAACTTTGCTGTTCTGGAAGAGCTTTTGTTATGGAATATTATTTGCTTGTATGCATGCATTTGTTTCTGCATCATGCTTGTATGTTCTTTCTCACTGAGTTGTCATCAACATTTGCTGTTTCTGAATCAATGATTAGCGAGTCAGTAATTATTTGCCTGATAGTGTTGTCTCTGCCAGTTTTTTCTTCTACAAAATCATGTATTTGTCTTGTTTTGAGGTCATTAAAGGGTATGGTTCATGCTTGGTGGCTTAAATTTAACCAGGAGTTTGTCATTCAATATGCAAATTATGCCTGCAGTGATATGAAATGGCTGTTCTACTAAAATGGCCATCATTTAGGTATGTCATGAAATGGAAATTTGAGAGGTAGGGGCTCATGGTCCCTCAAATGTTGGCATGTGAGTGGACTGGGATTTTTTGATCTGCGCATGTTAATGCATGGTGGTAGGTCTGGAGCTCTGGCTTCTTGGGTTGGTCCAGAAGATGATGTCTGGAGGTTCCTGATTATTTGGTCTGATCTGAAGCCAATACAATAGGATCAGAGCCATATGTGATGTTTAATGGGGAACAAGTTCCGGATTTTGTACAGAACAGAGGCGATTGGAGGTCTCTGAATATGAGTGAGAGGTCTCTGAATATGAGTGAGAAACTTCATACTTAACACCAAAGACCATAAAACAAAGGCTGAGAGAAATTTTCTATTGAATGAAGCTCTCTAATTCCTTGACAAGTGAGGAGACTCTGTAGGCCTAAGGCTTAGGAGAATTTACATTAGCATCCCTAGAGCTGATGAGAATATGTACAAAAGCGTCCCTAGGAGTTAACTTATATAGAATAGACCCACAAATATTGGGGAAAAACATTGCTCAGTAGTTCCCAGTAACTATAGGCATAGTTTGTTCTCTGTAGGATCACACGTCTCCTTGTTTTTCAGGATCGTTAATATTTGCTCAGTTTGTTAATAATGTTATATATATCTTTCGTTTGGAACAACTGCTTGTTTATTAAATAACAGTTTTTATGTTATTCTTTTTGCAACTTTCGGATTCTGTTAGTATGAGGCTGTGAGGGTATGTTTCTGATCTAATTTTTTTAAAACATTTTTTACAGCTTTGTATGGCTTGAGTTGATAAGTCACAGGAGTTTCTTACCAAAGATGTTGACTGGTAATGGTCAGAAAGGTTGGCCTTACATTCAAAGGTTGCTTGTAGATTTGTTCCAATTCATGGAGCCTTTTTTGAGGCATGCTGAACTTGGAGCACCGGTTTGTAACTGTATCCCTCTCGTTGTTTGCTGTCTATATGGTGAAAGCATGGTAACGAGTCTTATTTGTATATATTTTCTGTCTTCTTTTCCCTTTATGTTCTTCAGGTTCATTTTCTCTATAAAGGCACACTTAGGGTGCTCCTAGTGCTGCTTCATGACTTCCCCGAGTTCTTGTGTGATTACCATTTTACCTTCTGTGATGTTATTCCTCCTAGCTGCATACAAATGCGAAATATTATTCTAAGTGCTTTTCCTCGTAGTATGAGGCTGCCAGATCCATCCACGCCTAACTTGAAGGTCTTTGGAATCTCCCTGTCTACGTTTTCTTTTTTGGTAGTACTGAGTATTGGCGTGACAGCTACCTTTTTGCTTTCCTTTGCAGATTGATTTGCTTCAAGAAATAACTTTATCCCCTCGAATCTTTTCGGAGGTTGATGCAGCACTTAAGGCTAAGCAGATGAAGGCTGATGTAGATGAATATTTGAAGGTAAATATCCCACCTTGTGATTTTATTTTATGGTGAATTAGTGATGATAATGACATTTTGGGATGCTTCCATTGAGGTATTTATAGGATACCCTACCCCCGACCCCAAAAAGTGCTTCAAAGTTTTTAATTTTCTATATTATCGGCTCACTCATGATTGATCAAATATATGCAGACAAAGCAGCAGGGTTCTCAATTTTTGTCCGAGCTAAAGCAGAAGGTGCTCCTCTCACCTAATGAAGCTGTCTCTGCTGGGACCCGTTACAATGTTCCATTGATAAACTCACTTGTGTTATATGTTGGAATGCAGGTATGTTTTAAAATTTCGGTTTGATAAACTCTTCCGCTGATTTTCAAGAGTATGTAGGATTTTGTTAAAGCGTCTTCAACTGTTTAATTGTTTATGTATCAACTACTTAATATAGATCTGTACCGTTTAAATTTCTTCCCCTCTTGTTTTAAAATTTCTAATGTAAAGCAGTTGTGTCTTTGAGGCAGCTGCTTGTTTCAAGTTTTGGGGATCTTGTGAATCTTTGTTATAGCCAATATCATGCGTTGAGTAAATTACTTCTTTGTTTCTTTTTGGGCTATTATCTTGCAGGCCATCCAGCAATTGCAGGGACGAACTCCACATGCACAATCAGCTGCGGGGGCATTTCCTTTGTCTGTATTTTCTGTCGGTGCTGCATTGGATATTTTCAAGACTCTAATTGTGGACTTGGACACTGAGGGGCGCTACCTTTTCCTGAATGCTATTGCAAATCAACTACGTTACCCAAATACTCATACACACTACTTTTCATTCATCCTTCTGTATTTGTTTGCTGAATCAAACCAGGTGAACATATATTTCTGACACTTTTTTTATGCTAAACTTAATCGAGTACAATACTTTGGACAAAATGCTCATGGTATAGGTACTGTCGTCAGTTGTCATATCTGAAATCGTGGACCTGCACTTTGCTATTCATTCAGATGGTTGTGGAATGACAATTTCTTAGGACTTTTTTCTTTTTAAAAAAAAAAAAAACCCTTGTTCCAGTATCTGGCTTTGGGTAGGGCTAAACGACACTTTGCCCCCTTGATTTTAAAATTACTGACATTCATGTTTTGGGAGCCATTCTCATCTGTCAAGATTTCTGGAATTTTGAAATTATTCTCGTCATTGTTCTCTTTACACATGCGATATGCAATGGCAACATCTTAACAGAATAGTTCAGTCAACTTTCTTGTGAAAGGTTATATTTGCCCAAATCACTTGCTTAGTGTCCGACAGTTGGTTTTCTGTTTCTTTTTGCCCTCGACAAGCTGTGGTATTATTAGCTAATAATGTTTGTGAAGTATGTTCATATGGTAAATGATCAGACTCGGAATCCTTCTTATTAGGGATCAGTGCATGTTTAGGTAACTGAATGTTTTGTTTTGACATGGCAGGAAATTATTCAAGAACAAATTACCAGAGTCTTGTTAGAACGCCTTATTGTTAATCGACCCCATCCATGGGGCCTGCTCATCACTTTCATTGAGCTGATCAAGGTATTCTTTTCTTGTTTCTTTTTTTTTTTTTTGGTTTTTTTTGTTTGGGTATACTCATTCCAATATGATCGGTTCAAAATTTTAATCTGCGTTTGTTGTCATTTCCAGAACCCTAGATATAACTTCTGGAATAGGTCCTTCATAAGATGTGCCCCAGAAATCGAAAAGCTTTTTGAGTCAGTCTCAAGGTCTTGCGGTGGTCCGAAACCGGTAGATGATGGTATTGTCTCAGGCTGGGTTTCTGACAGTTCACACTGAGTTTTTCGTTCTTACAGGTTTTCTTTCTCTTTTTGACCAACCATAGGTTGTGTAAATTTTTGTCTCTTAGGCTTTTGCTATTTCATATTTTCCATTTGCATCCTTGCTAATATGTTAAACAATGTCCTGAGTTTTCTTGTAAATGTTATCAACAGAAATATGGCCCAAAAAAAACAAAAGTCATCTTCTGATAGATTTTTATAACTGATGAATTTTATGTAAATAAGTGAACATGCCTTCGAAGTTGAACCCAGTTAGCTTTATTCTATCTTGATGTACTTTTCTCTGGTTTCTCGTCTCATTTTTGTTCGATGGCTATGCTGCTGAAATAAATAAATCGTATACTTTGCAAATTAAATTATATTCATGGCAATATGCTCCGGAAGGAGTCTTTCCTTCCCAAAATCGGTTCAGACGTTAATTTTTTTAAAATTATTATTGAAATGTAAAATTATAAAAGTAAATTAATAAGAAAACGCAAACTATTAAAATTTAATTTAATGACTTTATAAATGTACTAAATATCTCAAAATATTTATAGACCAGTTTTAGAAACATCAAAATGTCAAATGTGTTGACAATTAGATGAGAGGCTCCTTTCTCAATATATTCGTCATTGAGATTGAATGGTCTCCTTTACGTCTAATATCTTTCTTTTTAAAAGGGTATTGTTAAAGACAGCTACGCTACGGTTTCATATTTTGTACATAGAAACTATCAAATTAAGAGGGTGTTTGAATACAGACTAAATTATGATTTTAAAAGTAAAGTAAATATATGAAGAAGTTGGTTAGAAAATATTTTTTAAAAAATCCAAATGCCCCCCTCAACGTTTGACGAACTCCGTGCCCGTGGATTTCAACAAACATGCTCCTGTGAACTCCTACTGGTCTCCTAAATGGGCCAGGGATTGTGAAGACGGAACGTCCCTTGATTGTTACGTGTTAGATTTTTCATGTGGAAAAGGGTCGAGACGATTTGGACTTTCAAAAGTTACTTTTTTAAAGATCATTAATCTTGTAAACGACTAGCAAGTCCCCCAAAAAAAAAAGTAGTGAATATTGTAAAATTGGTTGTAGAGTAAATTATTTTGCGCATAAAAAACCAAGTGTAGATTCTTATTCTTTGACTTGTAAAGTTTTTAGAATAGGTTTTTTCTGTTTTGTTCAAAAGTATTAAAAAAAATGAATTTTGCCCCATAAATGTCTTGAAGTGTTAGTTAGCTTTGCGGTTGTAGAAGTTTTTAGCAAAAGGAGGGGAGGATCAGAAAAGAGGAAAAGCATTTATGCAAATTTATCTTAAATTTCAATTTCATTGAGGTCCCTTACTTCTTAAATAATATTTTCCTAATTTAACAGACTTTACGAAATAAATAGCTTGATTTTATTTCATTTAATGCAATTAAATAGAAACACATAAATAAGTTAATGCTGCGTTCAAACCTGAGAAAGTATCCAAGCATGGTGGACGGTATTATTACTTGAGCAATTAGCCATTAACATAGCATCATTCTCCCAATCATAAATAAATCACAAGTTATAAATAATATGACTCATCTTGATTTTAATTTTTTTGAAATTTAATACCAAGCCAGAGAAGAACACAAAAAAAAAAAAACATAAAGCACTTCTTATTTGGTGTAATCAAGTATTGACATGATTTTAACCAAAAAAAAAAAAATTGCAGGCAGCTGGATCTAATTTTTTCTATGGTTTAAAATTATAAATATGTAGCTGGAAGTGGAAGTTAAAATCGCCAACTTTAGGTAAACCATATACGTTTTTAATTAACATCAATGTGATCGAATTATGGAGTACTTCTAAGTTCTACCAGCCTTTTTTGTCTAATTCTTGATAACTTGCGATGGCTACTTCCTTACGTTGGATTTCAATTAGGATGTATTTTCACTTTAAGCAGAACTTGCACGCAATAATTTTCTTTTCTCTCAAGCATAATTTTCTGTGTCTTCTTAAAGTGATTAGACTTTATTGTATAGGATAAGTGCGCTACACCTTGGGAAGGTTCCTCTATAGAAAATGCCGTTAGAAGTATTTAACTTTGTCTAGCATTTGTATATTTAATAAAAGGAGAATGACACAAAAATATCATTGAAATATGCATATCCTATATTAGCTCCATTAAATGCCCTATTTTCCATGAAGTCCCTTGTCTATAATTAAGTTATTTTTGTCAAATGACCACATTACTTTTGTATATTTGTTTTCTTTAAAAAGAATTCTTAATTGCTGAAAATTTTGTGACTTGTTTAGGAGGAAAAATAGACTAGGCCCTTATCAGAAACATATGACTTAATTTATTTAAAGCCTTTTAAATATGGCAGACTTATATTCATGCCCATTTAGTAAGACCTAGTCTATGGCCTATTTAGTTTTTTTTTACCTGCACTATTATATATAATATAATAATTACTAGCTTTGACTTGACCCTAAGTTTCACATCACAACATTCATATATAAAATCAATCCTTTCATTTACCTCTACATCTTCTCTTTTTGATCACTCAAGATGAAAATGCTAGCTCACTCACTCTCTCCTGATTTGCATTGTTCGTTACACCATTATAATTATTGTAAATTTATTTTAGTGATGCCTAAATGAAATATTATATCCTCAATGGAAAGAGTTTGCTCTAGTTTATGTAGAAAAACCAAATTAGAGTAAAATATAGTTTTACATACTACTTGTTGTGCTTGGTTAGTTTTAGAAAATATATTTCTTTAGTCAACAGATGACTGGTTTTTTTTTATTCCTGCTTTCTCAGACAATTGTTGTTAACACGCATTCTTTTTTTTTCTTCCCTTACTGAACTCTTATATTGCAATTGAGAGTGGATTTTAAATTTTTAAGACATAATATAAGCCTTTTAATAGGTTTGAAAAGTTATATATAAATTTTTAAACCTATTTAAAGATCTATGTTTTACGTAGGCCTTTAAAATTTTAAAGGCTCAAACTCTAGCCTAAAAAAAAGCATATATGCAAACTTATACCTTAGATATCTGTTACAAGCTTAGACCTATTTAACTAAAAATTAACCTGGTATATCCTATTTTTATCTCTAATTTATTTGGGATGCTAAAACCTTCATATTCTTTAGAGTTAAGGATATACAATTTCACTGTACAAAAACACACATATATTATGTGACAATTTTAATTATTAATATAGCAAAATAATACTATAAATCTAATTATTATAGTGTTCCATCATATAAAATTACCATATCGAATAACATGTCAATGCTATCATAAAAGTGGTTATTTAAGTGTTGCACTATTGTTGTTTTCCCCCACCCCTTTTTGTCCATGAAGTGCCACCCATTTTACGTCATTAATTTGAAGTAGAGTCTAAATGTATTGCAAGGCTTTCTTAAGAGCTGGGTACTCCTCAGTTGATGGAACCCCAATCACTCAGAACACCATTGTCGTTTATGATCTCTTGTGTGAACCATGTTTAGGGTATCTCAGAGAAATAAAAAGCATATGGTGATGGCTAGGGTTAGTGCAAATTGAACTAAAAGGGTCTTGTTGCGTAATAACAAAGCCGGTATTCCCAAGACATCATCGTAGGAAGAACTTCATAAAAGAGAAGCTTGAATATGGAATTGCAAATTTGGAAGAGAAGCTTGAATACGGAATTGCAAATTTGGAATATGTTCATATAAAGAAGTAAATGGGGGATATATGCTAACTGAGGACCCACCAAGTGTCAAGTTTGATAAGCTACAAGTTGGTTGGAAAATCCTCAACATCCATTCTCCAACTTGTATGATTGTGTAGTTACTTTTGATCATATAATCTTGTAGTTCTTAATCTTAGTTATAATATGTGTCACCTAATCTCCAAGGATAATGCCGCTTAACATTAGATTATAATTCCTCTATCCTTTTTTGCAGTATAAGATTAAAAAAAGTAAGTTAAAATTGGTTAAAGACAATAAATATGTAAAGATTGAGTTTTTTCTTCAAAATATCTTTATTTATGGGATAAAAAGTATAAGAAAGAAAGTAAAAAAAATTATTATAATAAAAAGAATTATGAAAGAGAGAGATTGTGTGATGGATAGGGATTATATTAAAATTTAATCTTCAGAACATTTATTATTTAAGAAATGAGATTTTGGGGAACAAAATAAATACATTAACTATTAAAATAAGTCTTTAATAGGAGTAAAATAGAAAATTTGCTATAAAAATTTAAGACAACTTGTAAATGTTACTTATATTTAGAGATGGTGGTTGTTGCCTATAAAAAGGGATAGAGGGAGTAAATTGATTTATAAGTTAGGTAAATTAGTTTGAAAAACTAATAAATATAAAAATTAAAATGAATTAAAATTTTATATTTAAAATCAAAATTCACCCCTAGCTATATTCTACATTTAGGACCAGAAGGATAATTAGATAAGCAAGTAAAAGTGTGCTAATTAGCTTGGCCATTAGGCTTATTACTTGAACGCAGGCCATGAGGTTCTCTTTGTTAATGTGACTTAATTTTGTTTTCCTTCTACAGGACTCTTGACTTGTATTCGAAAGAAAAAAAATGCTTATTTGTTCAACAATATTGTTAGAAAAATATTGTAACAAACAGTATTTTTTTAATATACTTTTTCAAAGCCCTTTGTTCAAAACTTTGTATTACACAAGTAATCAATATAATATATGCTTAACTAATTTGGCTAGATTAAACAAACTAATTAAATTAATTATTTGTCAAAAATATATATTGGTTTTTCTGAAATACTTTATTAAATTACTTGCATTGAAATTACCCTTTAATGCGTACTCTCTTAACACATACAATTAATTTGGATAGTTTGAGGGGGGAAAAAGATAAATACAAAAGATAAAATGTATATTATGATCAAACTTAACCCCCAATTAGCTCTTAAAATAGGAACTAAAGGTAGTAATATACTTCCTTTAGTCCTTATTATACTTTTCAAGCACATTTAATGATATAACTGTCATTTGTCATTTTTTGGTTTATGTAAATTAGCTTGTTAACCTTTTATCATATAAAACATTAGCCCCTATAATCTAATAAAAATATGGATCATTTTGCCCTTGAGGGACCAAAACCAAAATGAGGACAAATTTGAGGGACCAAAGTTTATATTAACCCTTTTGAGAAACTAGTAAAAGATTACTTACATGAGTAATAATAATTTGTAACTAAGGGAAATTAGGAAAATTTTCATTAATCACCTTGTTGACCCCTCAAAATAAGGATCAAAATTTTCTTCCACGCAATC